TAAACTACAACTGTCCTGACATTCAAGATGGAGAAGAGAATGTGGCCCTGACAGACTAATACAATTATTTGATAACAAATAACAAATTTGGTATACCACTCTATCCAAACAACTTTTAATACATAAACAGTACTTTTTCCTTCATAAAAACTTCCTGCACAAAAAGACATCTGTATATCGCACAGCCCCAAACTGATAGCGTTAGGAAGAGGAAGCGAGGAGGGTTAATTATTCAACAGTTGTTATCTTACCACACAGCTGGAGTAACCAATGCCAGAGAGCCTGGGTGAGATATATTTCCATACTCCGATGCTGCCCTGTCGGATGGCTTGACCGGCTGCCAACTCCAGGAAGAACAAGGGGATGCCCACAATCAGCATCAGCAGGATGTACAGCAGGAGAAAGGCTCCTGGGAAGAGAATGACTCTCAGTTAGCAAAAGAGCAACACCACGTGTGCAAAGAAGAAGCAGATGTTTATACTAGCACGACAGCTCTGAGTGCTTCCTCTACCAACACCAGTTTGATCTATTTGGCTTATACAGATTAGACTGCAAACACACAACTCCACTGTTTCATTTCTGGTGTTGGTCTAATCACATGCTTGTCCAGTAATGCAAAGACAGTTACTTTGTTTATTAGTTTCTGAGGGAAAGCAAGAATATCATTACAAAATAATATTTTAAAAGTTCCTACATGGAGAGGCGTATACCAGGAGCTGAAAACAATATCCTCTGCCACACAGCCACCCACTTCTGATGTGCGTGGCAGCGATCTACTGTGGTTAAGAGTTGCAGACGATTACCTCCTCCGTTCTGGTGACACAAATACGGAAACCTCCAGACATTGCCGAGTCCAACGCTGAATCCCACTTGAGCCAAAAAGTACTCTATTTTACTGTTCCATCCGGCTCGGGCGTCTGGCTCAGACGTCTCCTGCGGGCTGCTCTCTCCAGTGAGCCCGTCAACTTCTGTGGCTTCTGTCCTGTCATCATCAGCTGGCAAGGGCTGCTTCTCCATCTGAAATTGAAGGGAGCAAAATGAAAGATTTTAAAACTTTTCAAACAGATTAATAATGCAAATCAACACTTTTTCCCAAGGTTCTGCTCACATACAGACACCACAAAGAAGTCTGTCTGTACAGGTGCTTGGACATCCAGGTCACAGTAGCTTAAGTTGAAGGCGACTAGATATCTTTGTAGATTCATAAAGATGTTTCATCACCATCACCTCACTCAAGATGCTTCCTCAGTTCTACAAACTAATGGAGAGTCCTAGGTAGCATTTGATTGTCACCTTGGCGTTTAAGCCTAAAAAGGAATCTAGCCTATGTGGTAGTGTCTGTGTGGATTCTCGGTTTCCACATCAGTAAAAACCCTTAAAAAAAACCCAACTTCCTTAATTTGACCATTTCCAGGTTTATTTTACATTTTTTACGCAGTTGTTCGTTATAATTTTGGGATCTGTACTCAAAGAACACTGGACTGAAACATGCTACAACTTGAGGTGTTACTAATATTTAGGCCATAACAATGGCAGGACTAGGCTTAGTTGCATGGGGCACTGTACTGTCTGTTACCCGCTATGCCGCCAGACGATGAATGAATTTTCCTGGTAACCCAAGTGTAAAATCATTCTTGACACAAGCGCCAATTATATACTCCATATCACTTACAGTTACTCTCAATAACACTTAAAGCACCCCAAAAATAGTCCCTTCTAGTGACTTTGCGCGGTAAATGGGCTGATGCAATGGCATCATGGCTAAGAGCATCCTCGACCATTTGACTGGACTCAGCTGTTGGAGAGCTTACAGAAAGCGGACAATTAACATGAAGCCAAACTCACCTGGCAAGCAGCGGGTGCAGTCAACGAAGAGGTAGAAAAAGCGACAAGTAACGAAGAGCAGCGACGATAATCCTTTATCCCTCCTTTTGGTTAGAGGAAACGGCCACGTGTCGCTGCTGAATTATTACTAAAACAACATCGAGCTCAGTTATTGTTCTGTTTCTATATTTTTTCTTTAATGTAACATGCTAGAAATTTCTCAAACCACTATTATTAAATTCTTAAATACTAAAGTAAGACCTAAAACCGCTGACTATGTTATAAACGCGGCATTTTCGTTGTTAAGCCGTTTACTACGACGTAGCTGCGTTCTTCCGCTGTCTCGCGCCACGACGCCGTGAAGCCACTCCCATTTGTGTGTTTGTTTAACTTTCAAAGTAAAATTGAGACAAAACCATCGCTTGTAATGCAATAAATCATGAAATACACAACAGTACGGTTAATATGAATAAATAAACGAATAAATCAGAAATATTAAACTAGGACAAACTTAATAAGAATTTTATAATTAAAGTTTTTTAAAGACGTGTAGAAATTACAAATACATTTGATGATGTTTTCTTTTTTATTATTATGGTACACGCGGTCTATGGAGTGTTAAAAAGTTAAAACTGGGCTTTTAATTTAGTCTAACTTCAATTAACTATAATGCACCACTGTTTACCCACTTCACCCACAGTGGGTAAAGCTTTCACCTAGATTTTAGCGATTTGAGCCTGGATTGCGCACATAACAGGCAGAGCCTTAACTCACCACTGACACGTGTTCATGTATGATGCCAGGTAGATGGTTAAAATCCGAACACGTGGGGAAATACCACTTCATCCAGGTTAAGTTGTTACCTTTATGTTTGCCACCACTAAATCTTTTGTCTCTGCTCAGTTTTCGCACTTTTATCAAAATAAGAAAATAAAAGAAAGCAAAGGAGGCGGAGGCTGATGCAATAGTCTCAACATGGCTTTTACAGCCTACTGGGATTAGAACTTCGTGCCCGTGAGTGGTTGTAGCAGCATTGTTATTGTTCAGATTATATAGTTAATACATTTAAATTCTACTCCGAGCGAGGTGCGACATTTTTCTCACGCGTACAGACTCACACAATGCCACGTATGCCGGCTTGGAAGTTTTAAATAGAGCTGTCTAGTATCACTCATAAACTCATAAACTACAAATCTACGCATTTAGAAATAGTTAGGCGTATTAATTAATAATTGATAAATACCTTGTGATACAAACAAAGTCCGTGTAATGGAAGAGGTTCTTGAAATAGTTTTTCAATTGTCCATAAACCAAAGTCGCGCTTCAACCTCACCAACTTCACTGTCTCCGCCCCCACCTCTCTATTGGAGGATAAAGTGGGACTTGTCTTGTCAATTACTGTTATGAATTATGACACCCCACTTGTGAGTTTCCCACCTCATCCCTTTAAATCAAACATGTACACTGTGCAATCATGCATCACCCAACCACCACACACACACACACACACACACACACACACACACACACACACACACACACACACACACACACACACACACACACTTCTTTCGATTGTGTGAAATAATAATCTTTATGTTCTAATTAAATTCCAAAAATGTGAAATATTGAAATCGGCCATCGTGTTATCATTTTTCACAGGAAATAAGATGGTAAAAAAGCAGCAGGTGTTGTTAATCAAATGCAATTTTTTGACGCTCGGCAAGTGGGAGGACCTCTCCGGTTTTCTGGTGTGGAACAATAATGCTTCTCCAGTCCTTCCCAGGAGTGAACATAACAGCAAATTCACCCCAAGGTTAGACTGTCCAAGAAAAGAAAAACCCAAGAGCTACATCTCAAACCCTAGAGGTCTCGGTTAGCATGTTAAATGTTGAAGTTCATGAAAGTACAGTTGCACAGTGGAGAAAGGCTTCTTTTTAAAGTTGCATTTAAACAAACCACAAGACTTCTGGAACAACATCCTTTGGACAGATGAAAGTGGTGATGTTTGGCCAGGATGCACAGCACCACCTTCTGGAGGAAACTAAGCATATCATCACAAATACCTCATACCAGCTGTCAAGCATGGTGGTGGACGGGTGATGATTTGAGTTTGCAGCTAAAGCTCGGCACAGAAACTTTAATTTAAGGCCGATGAAACCCAAGCACACCAACAAATCTACCACAGAATGGCTGAAAAAGAAAAGAATCATGGTGTTGTAATGACCCAGTCAAAGTACAGACCTCAACCTGATTACAATGCTGTGGCAGCAACTTAAAAAGCTGTATGTGAATTCATTTCAATACTCCAGTGAAGTGAAGCAACATTGTAAAGAGAAGTGGGCTGAATTTCCTCCACAACGATAAAGTCACACAGAAAAGGATTACTTCAGGTTACTGCTGCTATAGGTGGTTCTGTTGAATCATAGGGTCTACTTTTAATGGGCTTGAATAGAGTCTTATGACAACTTCTTTAATATGTACATGTGCAGTTGCCAGTTGCATAACCTATCAACAGAATACACAGCTCTACTTCCCCTCCCTTTGCTAAGCACACTAAATAACTCCCGAAATCTTCTTCACTTGCAGAAATTCTGACTTCATCAGAAATTTCCCATAACAGCAAAAGATAAAGATTTTTGGCCCTTTGATCCCATCAGAACTGTGTCAGTGATTTCTCAATTGCCTGATTTCTTTGGGTCCTGAAACAGCAGCTCTACACGTTTCATTTGTCCTTCTCGAACTCTTTTGGCATGTTCCTCCCAGAAGCCAAAAACCTTTCCACCCCATAATTTGCTTCAAGTACTGACAATGAAAAATTATCTGAGCTAATCAACCTCTGGTTTGTTTTATTTTCCTGCACACTGCACCTTTGCATGGACCTCCCTTCCCCCCGTTACTCTCCGTGGCAGCCCACTCCAGTGGCACAGTGACTAGGTTCAATTCAGGCCTCTGAGCATTTATTTTCACCCACTCACTCTGTGTCACCGTTCACCAACTTTATCTTCCAACATTTTAACCTTTACATTTCCCTGTGTGGAATGCACTTGTAGGTGTACAGGAGAGAGAAACAAATATATATTTTTATCTTTAAGGTGGGGTGAAATACTGGGCGGGACTCCACAGTGTGACACACCTCTGCTTGTCAAGGCTTTCATACCTCAGGGTGAGTAAGATACCTCTAGTCACACTAAGGCTCAAGACAGGTTTTGGTTTCTGCTAACCTCAAGATCCAGGCACTGGAAGTATACTAAGTTACGGTAAGCTGATTTGACATCTATTTCCAGTCTCTGACATCTCAGGTCTTTGATTATTTGACTCTCAAATACATTTAGATGAGTATGGTAAGTCATTTTATTGTATGTTGTATAGGTTTCTTGGATACTCATAGTAATTTATGAAGGTGTAACCAAACATTTACCAGTAATTCAGTATTTGTGATCAGATTTTGAAGGTTTGCTTATGAAAATGTACTAAAATCAAAAGCACCATGGACACTTGACTTAATTCTGACTTAACCTGGCATGATTGTGTTACTCTTCTTACCTAACATCAACAAGACCACAGCTCTTTCTGTCAAATCTATACAGTTAAGTTGCGCACATAGAATATATTTTGTAAAAACATATTGGATGGATGCAAAGTAAAGCTTTGTTTAGATGTAGAAATGTTTCCTTGATTTAAAACAGTACTTTAACTTATAGTTTGTGCACAAATCATCATGCTTACCGCACTGTCCCAGTGTTCATTTTGAAATGCCACACTATATGTTCGTGCAAGCCCAGGCTGGCACTGAGTGCTCATAAATGTGAGGTTAAGTGATATTTTTTTTTGTGGGCAGAGTTTTTAAGTGACACCATGTGAGTTATACCAAGTGTTTGCTGTCTTTGATGCCGGTGACGCTTGTTCAGTGGTCACTGAGAAACAGAGAGGTTGGTATCATACTTTGAACTGTTACCAGACAGGTCGGGTGGCTCGCTCGCTCAGTCACTCACTCACCAGAATCCTGTGTTACTGAAGCAGAGCGGGGATAGACAAACATAAGCTGGAAAAGGGGAGGGGCAGGGCACATTTGAATGAGGATATTTCTTTTGTGAGTAAGTCTGTTTAGCTTTAGGAAGTAGGAGCTGCTGATAACTTGTTAAAGCAACACCATCGTTCCTCTCTCCATCTACAAATGTCACTCGTAACTCTGTCCAGAATGTGTTTCTGAGTGGTCCTGGTATTCTGCTTCCTTTTCTAGGTCTGTGATTTTTTAGGAAAGCTGCTTTATCTTACACATCTCCAGCTGACAGAGTGGAAAAAACATGACAAACATCACTCGACATATCGTCACAGTGAGTGCCTTCCCTTGAGTGATGTTTTTTATCATGCATTTTTCCTCATGTGCTCATTCTTCCTCATTACTTTGCAGCACCTTCTGACGTTCTCGCTGCAGAATGGGGAAGTGCGGAACGTTGAGGAAGCTCAGAACCGTCTTTCCTCCCTGGCTCAAAATAAAAAGCTATGGAGTCAACAGATGTACCTGGATGTGGGAGCAGGGGGCATTTATCTCAGAGACGTACAGAGTCAGGTGAGGGCAGGCGCATCTCAGTGGATGATGAAGAGATTTAAATGTGCTCAGCTGTGAAATACCACACATATTTGCATCCACAATGACCATCAGTTCTATCTGCCCTTGCAGGACGAGCTGGAGAGCTACGCCTTCAGATCCATCTTCCGCTGTGAAGCTGTTAACACAGAAAAACACTTCCCATCCCTCCTTATGTTAGTCTGCCAAGGTGAAGATCAGAAGAAGCCAGACATTCACTTCTTTAACTGTGAAACGGTGAAGGTGAGTGCTGACGGCGCGAGGAGTTTCCCCAAGTGTTGTCCTGGATGAGTCATAGGGTCTATTTGCATCAGGTTTTACCAGTGATGCCACTTACATTTTGTCATTTTAAACAGGCAGAGCAAATCTGCGACGAAGTCACGTTGGCAGTTTCGAATTCCACCACCAGCAAGCGTAAGCTGCTCCCTGATGACCACAGGTACAGTGACTGTCATAATCACGCACCCACGAAAGTGCATTTCTCGGCACGGTTTTAATGGGAGAGCACGCTTCTGTGTTCACAATCACATGGGCGGAGTTTAATTGGCAGCCACAAAAAAGGAAACTCAGACCCACATCCCATTTAAAGCAGTTTGATTTTCGCCGTCGTTGTCATTATGTCACATTTTTCCACTGAGTCAAAGCAGCTTTGTGTTGCCATCCACCTGTGTGGAGGCAGAGAGAGGGAGGACAAACCGTATAAACAGCTGAGCGAGAGCAAGCAAAAGACTCGTTCTACCGGTTTCTACATAACTTAAGAAGGTGTGACAGAGATAGCAAGGCCATTGTGACGGCGAGTAGAGAAGGCAAAGGGAACAGAGGCGAAGGCTCTGGGCATAATCTGGCTTTGAGAACATTTCTCTTTAAAGGACACGTGAAGGGCAGAGACATGTGGTAAGAGACACAGCAGGAGCCTTTTGTATTTACATCAGAATTTAATTAAAATTTCTAAAAAAGTGAAGTCATCACTGTTAGGTTACTTGTATTTTTTGGGGGATAAAAAAGTCAAAGCGGACTCACTGTTTTTATTGCTTGCTAATGTAAAGTGTTTGTGTTTAGCGTGGAAACGAGTATGCAAAATTAGGATGTTCACTCTTTCTTCATGGTTGGATAAGGGCTGGAGGATTAACTCTTTAGCCCTTGTAAGCCTACTGGGAGTAACCTTTAAAGCTCCTTTTTGAACTAAGCATATTTCAGACCTGCTTATTGGACAAAAATGACTGGGTTTGCATTAGAAGTTAGTGAGAGTGGTCCCTGTTTACGCAGCTACCCTTTGAAAAACCTGGAAACTGTTCTACTGGTCATAAAACCACATCTTTATTGATATATACTGAGGTGTCAAAACCCATCGTTAAGAGTGCTGGGGAGGTCATCAGATGTCTTCTTTATAAGGGAAAGGGCTAAATCTTAGAGGCGCCGCGTTGTGCACTGCGCTCATAGAGTTGTTTGGGGCTCTTACCAAGAGGATGCTGCTGTTACGGCATTGAATGTGAGCTTGTTAATATGACTTCTTGAGCCCTTGCTGAAGGGCATCTCATTTGCTGGCGCTGAGTGTACACCTGCACCATCATCAACAAAAACACTGTTATCACCTTTTAACCCGTAGTGCCGTGTTGTGGGAGAAGCACTGAATCTCTCCTCTCGCCCCGCAGGCTTTCTCAGAGTGGAGGAGATATGTTCGACCCCTATAACATACCAAGTCCTCCCGTGCTGCATGCTCCTAATCCCCCACCTGTCAACCCTCCACCTTACCCTGGACCCAGAGGTAAGAAAAAACATAGAAGACTTCTTTCTCCACATGCATGCCTGTTCAGTAGTGCTTCAGAATTATTCCGAAGGGTTGGGAAAGTGAGCAGGAGGAAAGGAGAGAAGCGTCAGGTATTCGAGGCAAAGGTCTCTCCAGAGCACAGAGATAGCTTTGTCAGCTTGTGTTTGTGAGAGGGCGGCTTTGGGAAGTGCAGAGATGAATGAACATGGATAAACTGAGTCCCTTGCTCTATTTCACGACAGCAAATGGTGGACCTGATATCTCTTTCCTGCGAGCAGAGAGAGAAGTGGTAAGCCAGCTCATCTCTTTTGAGTCTTTTGTCGCCACTTTTGGCTGCTTTTCACATAACGAAGGCAATTCTTCTTTCCTCAGGGGATCCTTAATCACTGTTTCGACGAAATCGAGGCCTTCATGGGCAAGCTGCAGCAGACTGCTGAAGCTGCGACGGTGCTGAACCAAAGAAAGAAGAAGAAGAAGAAAAGTAAAAAGCAAAGCGCTGAAGGTAAGAGGGAGATGCATAGATTTCTCCAGTTTCTCTAGTTCGAAGCAACATATCCATCAACTGCTGTTATATTTTGTTCCCAAACAACAGACGAGCTACTCGCCACAAAGGCTCGCCCTCCACCAGATGGGGAATTCGTTGATATCTTCCAGAAATTCAAATATTGCTTCAGCCTCTTGGTATGTATGCCATCAAGTCCAGCCTCATTATTTGCTTACTCGTGGCAGCTGCATATTCATCGCCTCTGTTTATTTCTCAGGCTCGCCTGAAATCAACCATCACCAATCCTTCTTCAGAGGACCTCATTCACCATGTGTTCAAGCCTCTGGATATGGTGAGTCAGGGTTATAAACTCTACCTCAGCAACTGTTGTTGCTATTGCTGTAAATATGAGGTGTTGTCTTTCACTGCAGGGGAGCATGACCAACCTCTTCGAATAAATCCGTGTGACACGTAATGCCATGCGGGGGCAAAGTCAACTGGGGGTAAATGCCTAGATTCAAAAGACACATTCTCTGCTTGACGGCCCAATCAGGCAGCGTTTTTTTTCCTGATGTTAGTGGACATCAGTGCAGAACTGTAAGCATGTGTCATGTCAAAATAATGGAAAGTCTTCCGAGTAGTTAAGTGATGTTGTCAGAAGCTACAGCTTCTATTCAGTGTTTACACAGGGCAGTTCCCTGCACAGCGGCCTGATTGAAAATCACCAAAAAATGCAGCATTTGTTTGATCTACGCAGTTTCCTTGGCTGTATTTGTATGCGGGCAGGGGTTGCTGGTGCATACCTCTCAAACATTTGGTTTAGATTTGAGCTTGTCTCGACACTAGAAAGGCCACTTTGTTGTCCCTCGACGCCTGTTTTAAATTAGGACGTTGGTAAGTTCCATCTGGGAAAAAAAGGTGGGCCATTCGTGGCTGCTTTTTTAGAAATCAAGTGCCTTTAGATTATCATTTATTTACTTTGATTTCATGGAAATGTCCAATGCCCTTCATTAAAGTATCAACATCACTCATGATGATACACTGTGAGTTAGCAGAAATGAAAGAAATATTTCAAAGTATGTGCTTTAATTTTTCCACTCCAGTATGAATCAAATAGGGTGAAAAGGGTGTGTTTGATTCGTGTAAACTGACACACCTGAATGGGAACACGCAGCCTTGTCTCTCAAAGACGTGTGTGTGCTTCTTCTTGTGTGCTTTGGCTTTTGTGTGCAGATGTATCCATTAGTTTTTTGCATTTGTTGGTACATCTGTGGTTTGATGTTCGGCTATCGGGCAGAAGGATGGACGGTATTGTTGTTGCGGTTTGCTAGAACCATCAGCGATTGTTAAGACTTTGAATGCCAGATCCATTACAGCAGACGTGGGAACATCAGTTCAGTTTAATTTATATAATGCCAAACAATCCCAACAATAACTGCCTTAATGCGTTTCATATTGAAGGAAAAGAAATTATAATAATATAGATATAACCCCAACAATAACTTGGCCCCTTTGAAAAAGCACTTTGGCAACAGTAAGAAGGAAAAACTGCCTTTTAAGAACCAGGCTCAGGGAGGTGCAGCCATCTGCTGCGAACACTTGTGGGTGAGGGGAGGAAGAAAGGATAAAAGACACACTGATTTTGTCTCATCTGTATGTTGCACAGATGGTAAAAACAACAGGAGGACCAGCTTTTGGAGCCGCCATATCCAGTCCTGCCCTGACCAGCTCTGCTGTGTCCCTTCTACAAGATACCCTGACTGAGGAGGAGAGGCAGCTCTGGACGTCGCTGGGACCCAACTGGACACACCCTCGGTCGGTATCAATGCTTGTCTGTCTCTTACTAGTTGTGAAACTGGTGTTTTACTTTCCAGAAATCTAAAAAGGCAGCACATTAAAAACTTCCAGTCTTGGTGTTGTATCAAGCTCGACTCTGGCCAGAGGCTGTGGAAAGGGAGCATTTTGCCTCTGTTGATAGTTATGTGTCACCTTTTTACATTTTTGGGTTCACTGAAGATTTTATCTGCTGAAGAGCAACATCTTTGTTTCAACCAAGCAATATTTTTGTACTTCGTTTCTCTTGAAATCCTTTGTTTTACCTACGTTTTGAAATAAGCAGATTTTTTGAGACAGGAGATTAAAAAGGACGTTTTTTTGCTCATATCCAGTTCCATATTTTTATTCTTGGACTGAAAGACTACAAAGCAATCCCTATCTGTCTTCTTCGGTCTTTTGTCACAGCACCTCAGTTTCAGCTCATGGGGTGAGGGTCCCCTTACTTTAAGACAAAACTTTCTTCTGATGTTTAACAGGACCCTCCATCAGGTTCCATTGTGACAGTATTTATATAATAAAAAGCATAACAAATCCACTTAAGGCATTTTGGGATTTATTGATTTCTCATGTTAAGAAAAGGGAACCGATGGATTAGCTGTCAAATGTACATAAGACCTATTATATTTAATATTGTAAGCAAGCTTTAAGAGGAAAATCCAATGTCATAACTTCCATCAATGAAAACTGCTTGAATAACTATCATAGTTTTGGTTGTTGAGCTCATTGAAGGCCAAGGCAGTGACTTGTTCTGCTCTCTCAGGTCTCAGCTGCGTGGGCCTGTAGCTCCATACACCCCAGTGTTCTTTGATGGCTGGAAGCCAGAAGCCTTGAAGCCTGACGGGCAGGTTTGGGAGGATCCGGTCGAGTCACAGCACAAACTCGAAGCCCTTCGAGAAAAACAAGAGGTGTGGAATACTTCTATAACGTGATTTAGAAGTCATTAATCGTAGATCAGTGGAAACAAGAACTACGGATGAGTGTGTAAAAGGACAACACAGGGGTTTAAGATACTAACGCATGAATAAACCTTACGTACAGTAAACAGTGGAGATACACTTTCCGCTTTTTGACAGGTCAGCTCACATTTCTGTCCATCCCTGCTAAAAACTGTATAAGGTTCACAGTTAGTTCTTTGTTTTTTTAATAACACCTTAGTTTCTCAAACTTTAATGCAGTCAGCCTTACCCAGATATACACTGACATTATATTTCTCTACATATTTTGTGCATTTTGTGCTAACTTGTGTTGTCTTCACTTGTCTATTTTTTTTTTTTGCTCCCACAACAGCAACAACCACCTCAGCCACCAAACGATGACACGTAAGTCATCTACAAGACATAAATCAATGAGCTGCTGTTTTTCTTGTTGTTGTTGTTTGTTTTGACCTTGACTAAATAAAAACAAACTTTGTCTCGTTTGGTCAGAAATTCACTCCCACCGGGGCCTGACAGACTCTACTGCTGCAGTTATGACTTCATTGCCAGGAACAGCAGTGAGCTTTCAGTGCAGCAGGGGGAGACACTGGAGGTAACACACAGTGAAGCAAGTCATTTTATGGCGCACTCAAGGAACCATCATAAAAGTCCTGTTATTCGTTGTTTGACAAAAGCTATTTGCAGTTGTTGATACACTTTACAGCCCTCTCCCTGACCGCAACCCTCTCTGTCTGACAGGTGATCGAGTCATCCAAGCGCTGGTGGAAGTGTCGCAATCGGTTTAACCAGGTCGGCTTCGTCCCCTTCAACATCCTGGAGCCCATGGCTCACATAGAGAGCCCTGTCCACAACAACCCCCCCAGTGTAAGACGGCAAAAAAGACACCCACACACATGCATGCACGTGTGAAACACACAAGCTCTCATCTGATCATTCCATCAGAGCAAACTCATTTTTTTCTTCACTCCACGTTCCTTCAGGTTCCAGCTGCGCCTCCACTTTCCAAGAATGTCACTCTTGCCCCACCCACCCCCCCTGCTCTTCCCAAAACCACCCCCACCCACTCCCCACAGCGCCCACGTAGCTTACCATCATACAACCAGCATGTGCAAGCTGTTGAGGACAATGACAAAGGTAACGGACTACAACTTTATGTGTCCTAGACTGTGGCTCTGTAGTGTAGCGGTTTGCACGTTTGCCTAACAGGTGAATATAAGATTTATTTAAAAAGTATATAACCAAAAAAAGATACAAAAAAGCACAGTGATAGGCTTCTCATAAGTCACCTAATTATGGGTTCATTATTTTGGATTTAAACCACGTTCTCATGTTTTAAGATGCACTTTTGAGCTATGTCTTTCCTCCACTGAGTCCTGCATTTATATTATTATTTGAGCATGAAAGTGACCGTTACCTCTTTAAACTCCAAACTTTTCAGTCACGCTGGTAAATGATGAGCTGCTCCAGAGACTGACGAATGGAAAGTCCAATATGAACAAACCCCTCGTCATCCCTCGCTCTGCTGACACCTCCCTCCCCCTTGACTACCACTCTCCTCCAGAGGAGGTGGCTGAGTGGCTCAGAGGGAAGGGCTTCAGCAAACCGTAAGTGACCGCAGACCAGATAAACCACGTTTTGTGTATAAGCAGGGAATGCTGGCTCTACACGTGCGTTTTGCCATTACATGGATGAACGCAGCGGCTCCACCGGAGTATCCTCTGAAATCCATTATGTTTTGTGTCCCTCAGGACAGTGTCATGTTTGGGTGTGCTGACAGGCGCCCAGCTGTTCTCTCTCAACAAAGAAGAGCTGAAAGCTGTGATTCCAGAGGAGGGTGCCAGAGTGTACAGTCAGCTCGCTGTGCAAAAATCACTGCTAGAGGTAAGCGAAAAGAGAACAGCTATATCTTTTAAAGGGAAGCCATATCAAAGCCTTCAATATTGACATTTTTATTGGTTTTAGGAAAACTAAACATGATCATTTTTGGCAGGATGCAAAAACACAAGTATGAGTGTAATCAGTGATTTAAAATTACTTACTTTTAACATATTTTCATTCATCTTTTACCTTTCATGCTGGACTGAGGACATATGATACATTCGGATCAGCAGACAGTCTAATCCAAACAGAACAAAATTCTTATTTTCAAGTCCCACGTGCCATCCAGATTACCCTGGAAGAGTCTTATAATTCAGGAAAAGATTAAGAGACATTAAAAATGCATTTGTATGTGTGACAAATTTTACATTGGTATTTGGATTATTTTGGTAAGAAAGGCCAGCATCATTTTTTAGGCTTTTATCGACGTTTATCTCTAGTTTTTGTGACGTCCAAACTTCGTCCCATATTTTGTGTGAAAGAAACATGCTGGAAACGTGCTGACAGGCCATTTAAAAACATCTTGAAATGTATTCTACGTATATGGATTTCACAAAAACCTTCAGCGTTGAGCAGAAGGCTCACAGTAATTTGAGATGGAATGACCTGAACTCAGTAGCTTGAGGTTCAAATTACTGTAAACAGCTGATGCTTTTCATCTCATTGCTACACAGTCTAAATTGATTTCTACTTTTTACAGGATGCCAGAAGGGCCACAGAGCTGGAGGCAGTCATGGAGAAACAGAAAATGAAGGTTGATCTGAAGCTGGAGAGCAGTACATTGTGAGGAACAGCATCCACATTGTGAAGAGCGTTACATGAAGGACTGTTTTCCCGTCCCCAGAGACCGAACATGTGGCAGTGACTTGACTATCTAACATTAAATCACGGCATGAGGGTCACTACGGTATTATTACCTGATGTTAAAACCGAGCTTTCTGTCAGCAATATGAGACGTAGGAATTTAATATAACCAGGTGCCGTGCAAACTAAAGGGGACTGAGTTTGCTTTTCCTTATTTTATGCCATATATGTACAGTTAGTGTTTTTTGTGGATGCTCATATTAAACATGGACACAGTTTCAAACAGCGATCGGAGCACGTACAAGTAAACCAGGAGTCAAAAGGTCAGATTTCAAAGGCCTCCACCAATTTTTATGGAATGTTTTTTCTACTCTTGGCTTTGTACAGTGGTGCAAATATGACACACCTCAGGTACACAGCTCGGGCTGTTTAAACCCTTTGGTTGCAAGGGCCAGCCAATCAGAAGAAGGCTGGCTTAAAGAGAGGGGAAATGGAACTAGAGTGGTTTGTTCCAGGATGAATTGAGGTGATGGACTTAGGCCCAGTATAAAAAAATAAGAATTAATCTGAGCTGTGAATCTTGCAGTGGTTCTCCAGTAGAATGCAATAAATCTAAAAATGGAAATCAGTGTAAGAGATCCCCTTTAAATATTTTACCACTGCAGTGCCCCGTTTGTAATGCATGTTCATTTTAGTGTAACAGCTGTCTTCTTCTCTGCCTAATTAACTTAAATGAAATGTATTTATCTTTGTAATACACATTTGTAAAAATTCAGCCATTATTATCACATCTTAACAATGACAGGACCTTGTCAACACAATTCAACACACAATTAAATTCCAAATGGTGCTTTTTTCTTTTTTTTATTGAGACTTTAAAGAAAGGTTTCCAGCAGAACAAACAGATATGACTTCACACATTAGGTAAAGCAGTGCATCCATTAAAATCTGTTTGCATTTAATCATAATGGAAAAGAAATCTGTTCAAGTTGGGCCAAAAAAATGTTTAAATTTTTCACTTAAAGGTAAGTAGATCTGAACTTGATCATTTCTGAACCTACTGCTTCACATGCTGACACAAATTCTAAAGATATTGTTTATTTGCAGTATGTTAAAAAGAAATCAAGATAGAAAGAAATGATAAAGAGACTTGCCACCAATATAGATCAGAAGATTTCACTTATACTGAAGAAAGTCACCTGTAACCTGATCACTTATGATAATAAAAAAAAGACAAAAAAGGGAGGCAAGTCGGATACTAATGCTAACATCTTTAAAACCTTTGAATGTAAAACTTTAAGTGGGTTTTAGAGAACTAAGTACTGAGGACCATTATGTGGACAGACATTCGAGAACTGCACTGGGACAGCGAAACGAAATCTTCAAGGAGGGAGATGAGGAGGGGAAAAAAAAAACCAAGAAACTACTTGACAAGACTAGGCTTTTTCAGACAATTAGTCAGCCTAGAATATATTTACAGACAGATTTTTTTTTTTATCAAAAGACCATCAGATAATAATAAAAAGAACATGGACCAGTTACATTTTTATGCTCCAGTCCAGCAGATCAGTTTGCCTTTTCTAGTGGACACATTTCAGGGCAGTAACAAGACGAGGGATGGACTGGATACAGACAAGTCACCGAGTTACAGATGTGGGTATTAAGAGTACACTCCACTACTGACCAATAACCTGCCAAATCCCCAAAAATCTGATGTATCTGATGCTATAAAAAAAAAAAAAAAAAAAAAAAAAAAAAAAGAAAGGAAAAAAACAACAACAACTAAACAAAAAAACTCAATTCTATACTTGATAGTATGTGTGCACTCTGGCTGCACTAAAGCAAAGAAAGGAGGCAGGCGGGAAAACAGAGGGGTGGGGTGTCGAGCCAAAGTGTTTAACATTAGGATATTATAAATGGACAGACGGGAGGAGGCTGTGGTGTTGTGGTCATGGATGGAGTTTGGTCTTCAGAGGTCCCCCACGTCTCTGTCGTCTGCCCTGCGCGAGTCCGACCTGCCGTTCATACCATCCCTTCTGTCTCGCTCCCGTGACCGGTCTCTGGATGAGCGGTCACGGTCCCTGGACGAGCGCTCTCGATCTCTGGACGACCTGAGCGACAAAATGATATGAGATATTCAGGTTAGTAACACAAATACAACAGAGCAGTTGACAAAAAAAAGAGAAGGATTGTATGTGTAAAATGCCAAAACACAAGCTTGAAGCTGGATAAAGGGCTCAAAAAAAGCCCATGTAATTGTTGTTTCCTTTTATTTTCACTGACTGTTCTTAGGCGACGCAATCAGTATCCCACGGATCTCCATGTGTTTGCTCAATTCTCTTTCACGGGAGTATAGATTAATAAGGGTTTTCGTCTGTGTTTACTTGTGTCTGGAGCTCTGCTCGTGGCTGTGACGGTGTCCTCGGCTGCGTGAGCGGGATCGGCTGCGATGCCGTCTCCTCCTCTCCCTGGAGCGTGAGCGGGAACGGCGCCTGTCTCGTGACGAAGAGCGTGAGCGTCTCCTTCTGCGGTCACGAGAACGGGACCTGGCAAAGACAGCAGACAGCATATTTCATTAGCTGACTTGAACAGAACAAATCGGACTCATAAAAGACTGGAACGAATGAACTGACAGACAGAAGAGGGAGCTTCCTTACCTTCTGTGCTCTCTGCTCCTTGATCTTGTCCTATAAAATAAAACCCCAGAGTTAAACAGTAAAACACGCACTGCTGTAAATGTCATCTGGATTTTAACATCGGCACTCACCTCCTCCTCATCCTTTCCTCCTTCTCCCTTTCTTCTCGTCTCTTTAAGCGCTCCTGATTCCTCTTCTCTTGCTTCTCGACCACAGTTTTCTGATAAAAATAAATAAATAAAATAAAGTCAAAACAAACGTATCTAAAGCCTTTACATCATCCTCCCTTTCTAGCAAGTATTCAGCACCATGTCACTCATATTTTTATGAGTTGGCTGTAAACAAGTTATACACACCTTTAGCTGGTCCAGTTTTTCTCTGATCTGAATGAAGCCGAGGTGAAGCTTCCCGCCAAAATGGTCAGCCAAACGACGGTCGTTGTCATGGAGACCAAGGTAAGCAGAGCACACCTCACACACCCGAAGCTTCTGCTGCTGAAAGCTTGAGGCTGGCATGGAGTTTCTGTATTCTTCCTGAAATGGTTCAAGAGGGAATAAAAGAGGCAGAAGTTCAGAAAATTAAGAGACGGAAAGCACCACAAGCTCGAAGTTCTAAGAGCTCACTCCTTACCTCTGCATCCTTCTTCTTCGTGCGGACCTTCTCCACCTCTTGCAGGACTTTCTGAGCCTCATCCACATTGCCCTCAGCTCCGAGCTGTTCAGCCTTGGCCAGGAGCTTTCCTATTTCCTCATTTAGCTCATGCACCTTCTCTGCCTACAAAACAGCCACACCAACACAAGAGATAACAGGTTATGTTGAGCGAAAAAACACACTGACAGGGTTCACTGGATGTTGCATAAGGAAAGCCAGACTTTATCAAGCATAAAAATGTTGCATCATTCACCTTTGCTGCCACCTCTGCACTGATCTCTTCTTGGGTCTCAGCCAGGCGCTTCTTGGCCAGTTCTGTCCTCCGATCACAGTCCACAATAAAAGACTCTAGGTGATCCACTGCCTGTAGGAGCAACACCTTTTATTAACACACTCAGCAGTCACTACTTGGCAAGTACAAATGTTTTGATTTGCACTTGCATCATTTCAAAAACGCTTTTGGCATGAATGGTGCTGACTTGCAAGACAGATAGACATTTTATTCATTCACAAGGGAAATTACTGTGTTACAGCAGTACGATAAAGAATACAAATAGTACTCTTTAACTATGTTTATTGTAAAGCAAAAGTGCCACAAGCGCACACCTAGGGCCTTAAACCGTGAGAAAAAGCAATTTTTTTAAATATGCACAACATTGATAAAAAAACAAAGAAAACATAAAAATTAGTTAAAGAAAAGTGAAAAGTCTAAGATTGTGCAACTTGCATTAATAAATAATATGCACACAATAAATCAGGGAAACAGCTGCAAAAAGGTATAAAAATAAAAAAAAAAGACTTCCTGAAGCATTCTTTTTGAAAGCGGGGTTAAATCATTTTAAGGGAGAAGGAGTTCTGCTGCCTCGTTAGTGTGGAGTGGAGCGTGTGAAATGGGCCATGATGGAGAGCAGTTTGTTCAGTCACGTCCTGTCCCTCACTCACTCCAGATTATTATTAATTAATAATATTATTAATATATTATTAGTAAAAGGAACCTCACTTACATCAAGCTCAAAGAAAAGATCTCTCTCCTTGGAGGCAATTTCATAATCAGCCCGAAGTGCCAGGTCATGGATCTTAGTGCACTCCCCCAGGTCCATGCGCTATCACCAAAAAAAACCAGACAGACATGAGTTATGCTGCATAAACTCAAACATAAACAAATGATAATGTAAAAAAATAAAAAAAGACTGCAAAAGTTAAAGACACTTATAGCACTTTTTTTTTCCTTTCTGAAATTTCTTTCCAACCTCTTAGAAATGAACTGAGTTTTTAAAGCTTTCAGGATGGGTCAGAACTGAAGTTTGTCTCACTTACAGTTCCAGAGAGGATGTCATGTGGGCAGCAGTTGAGAAGGTGACTTTTGCAGACTCGTTCGTCAGTGAACTTGACCCTCTGCCGCGTCTCATCCCCTGAAACAGCCCAAAAGAAGAACCAGTGAGACAGCCCTCACATACTCGATAACAGTGGCGAGGTATCCAGTGCTTCAATACATATTAATGTAATTGTACTACATACCACAGTTCCATTTAAATACTTTGTACCTATCCAAATGAGTAAAAGCTATTTGTATATTGCTGCTTGTCAGGGTTTTCATTGTACTTTATTAATGTAACCTTACAGGTATCCATTAGTAGAGTAAATGTGCCTCTACTGGACTATACTAATGTATTAATGCAGTAATAAAGGTTGCTTTGTATGTGTGTGTTACTTTGTTCTTATTCTTAGTGCTTACCTTACCCAAGCCTCAAATGGGTTATTATCAGAGCCTCAACTCAGTTAACTTTTTATAAGGCTCAACGCCCACTCTATAATGAGGGTCAAAGGATTGGGCTGGGAGCGGTGTAACATAACATTATAATAATACAATTTAGGTTTCAGTTAAGTCGTGTCAAGTACAGCTGCTACCTTAATGCTGTATCATTTTCATTAGAAAATGGAAGATGGCCACTACAACTATAAATAGATTTACATTTTTAAAATCAAATGTTCCAGCCAAGCCTTTATTTATAACTGTGAACATTCAAAGGAAATTCAAAACAAGGATGCAAAAGTAATCCAAGGAAAAAAATTTAGGTTATACACACTGCGACTTGCACCACATACTGTACCCTTCTGCATCTTCAAGACCTCAGCTGCAGAATTTTAAACCCGCTGTAGAAAAGTATAAATGGGAACAGTTTTCTCGCGCACACCTGTAGTAAGAAGTTGGGAGTCATACACAAGTCAGATTGTAAATGCTGTGTGCAAAGTTTTTTTTGTGTGTGTGTGTGGACTGACTGCTAAAATTGCCTTCTGAAAACAGACGTGTAATGGAAAACTGCTCGTTTGGACTCAGCGCGACCAGACGTCTTAGCTCAAGCTGTGTGATACTACTTCAAATAGTAATACTAGTGCCACTGAAGATTTACCTATTTGTGTGATTTTTTTTTTTTAAGAAAAAAAAAGAAAAAGGCTACAATAACTTCCGGAAGGCAAACAAATTGTTTGGATATTCACCATAACAGCTTTAAAAATTATGTGTGACTCACGGCTCGATGAACATGAGGCTTTTCTGCAACTCCTTTGCAGATTGATGTAGGCTGGCAAAGATACACTGAACCTTAATGAATAAAATAAAGGGGCCACAATTGTTCAGTCTGTATGCAACAAAAGTATGGGAAGAATTTGATATCATATCTCATCACACATACACCCACAAGCTCACCACACAAATTCACTCTTACTCTAAAGCTCAACTTGTTAAAAAAATGAAAAAAAAAAAGGCTCAGAGCTTCAAATTTTACACAACCAGCTGTCAGGATAAAATATTTATAAAACGGCAGGGCTGCAAGAAACTGCAGTCAGACCTGACAGCTGATATATTTACACACACATACATACATTTAAATTATGCTTCTTCAAGCGTGTATTATACATGTTTTTCTAACATTGCACAGCACCAATGTTACAGGTTATGCTGCATCTATTTATTCTATTCTAATCTGCTGCTGTAATAATGTATTACACTTCCAATTAATCCCAACTATGGGACTAAATCGGGTTATATTATTTGCCAATTAATGTTTGTATCCAAACGGCTGGAAGCTACTAAAAAAGAAAACACTTCATTTAGGACGTCTGTCCACTCATAACTGCGATAATCAAAATTAACGAGCGCAGTATTGCACTCAGTTTCTTTTTAAATAAAATCTAATCTCGAGTTAATCTCGAAAGTGTTTTATTATCGAGTATATGTGCTAAATTATTTTGTTCCTTTAGAAAAGTGTTTCATTTTGTTTTTAGAACTCCTGCAAGACCGACTGCAAAGTACGGTCCGTTTATCGTTTAACCCTTGTTTGGTGTGAGATTACGCTTTATTTAATCAATACAGCCATGACGACTAATGCAAAGATACTTGATCTCAAATCCAAGCAGTACTGACATACATGGAAAACACCTGTAAGAGCACAGTAATGAAGAAACGTGATACTGGTTTTAGTGACAGAATGTAATGAAGAAAAATCTATCAGAAAATATGGGTGGAAAAACATTTTTATCCGAAAATATGTTATCCAAGATATACATGGGGCAAGCTTCCATTGTTACGTTATTGTAAGCAAAGAAGGAAGGAAGAATATTTTTTCTCTTTCTAAACACTGAAAACCTTGAACACCGCACAAGGGTTAAAATTATGCCAATTAAACTATATAAATGGATACAGAAGATATCTGGTTTACCATTAACTAAACATTAATTAACGCCAGGAATATATTCTTGTACACTGTCCAATGCATCCTAGCTTGGCGCCTCACAGTCCACAACAAGTAGCTACGTTTAGCCAACGCACATTACAAGCTAGGAATTTAGTAAATCCTAGAAGTAATAAAAGGGAAACTACAACCTATTAAACTGCAATGAGCCACGTTGGATGCAAACATTAAATCCTCTCATTAATCCTTAACAGGCTGCCTGAATATAACGTTACTTTGTCCCACAGCCCTCTGCAGTACATCCATTCATGCAGCTCTGTCCATCACACGCCAACACAAGCCAGCCTCAGCAGTGGCTCCATCTTGGCTAGCTAGCTCGGCTAGCATGCTACAGCAACTCACCGTCCCTCGCTGTTCCCATCAGCTGGTCGAGCAAAGCTCTCATTTGAGCTTGGGCAGACATTACTGCGGTTCTTCCGTCGACGGGGTTAGATAAAAGTCAATCAACTTGAAAACGGTTCCTCTGTTTTATCGGCTTATTTGAGAATTTATTTATCCAAGCATCTCCTTTTGCTGCTTCTCCCTCTATTTCTTCAACTCGCCCGTTTCCGTCCAATATCCGGGAAATGACGAAACTATTCTGTAGCCTCGCTAAACCAGGAAGTCCCCAGATTCCGTCTAAATGTGCCAATCGAAACGGCCAAGTACGCGTACAACAACCAATCACAACACGTTTACTGATAGACCCTGAGCTATGACTTTCAGGCAACGGCTATTCGCCATAGGCATTCATCATGTTGAAGCACCTCTTGCTACAAGCAATACCCAAATTTAGGTAAATTAATCTTAATGTTAAGGTTCATGTTGTTTCGGAGGTTTCAATATTATTTGAATGTGTACATTTTCAATGTGTAGCGCTACCTGTCAGACAAATTCGGGGTACGCGAACCTTTTAGGACGGTGGGCTTGCCTGTGATTTGTTTACGCAATTGAGGTTGACAGGCAGTTTTGTTAGCCTGTGTCAGGCCTGCTATCTAAAGTTAGCCGCACCAAAGAACGCAGGAGTCGGCGGTGCAGAGTTAAAGTAAGAAAAACCTTATCTGTATCTGCTTAAACTATTGAATTAACCTCAAATCGAGGGCCGCTTTCTGTGGTAATATTACACACAGTCCCTTTTTTCGGGGCTGGCCTTCGTTCAACAAGTTAGCAAACTAATCCACCCAGGTGTTGAGGGTAAACTTTTTTTTAATACCTAATCTCGTTAATATAGATAGCTATCCGGAACTGACTAAGGCGAAGAAAAGACTTTCACGGCACGGTCTCGGGGCGTAAAATAATTTTGTGCGAGTCTGTTTGTAATATACATAAGGAAGTTTGTAGCACACGCCCTTATCTTTCTTTTTTCTTTTTCTTTTTTTACGTGTGAGTAATAAGCCTGTTGCTGCAGAACAAATAATATGGTGTGCAATCCTGAGCGATGTTTATTATGGGTCTGCTCTTTTTGTGCTGAGAAGCGTCTGGATCTGTGCTGGCACATCTGAATAAGCAGAGATTCACAAAGGTTGATGCAGCAGAAATAGCTGGACTGCTAGACACTGCTGCCTCCAGTATTATTTCCCACAGAGTGTATCTGTGAATGCCAGCGAGTTTTGTATGGTTACTTTGACACATGCAGGTTTATAATCCGCTCCACACTGGAACTGTATATGACTATTTGTATTTGCAGTGGTATGTATTTACGTAAGTGTTTACCATAATCTCTTTTCTCCTTTTAGGCAGGTCAGTGGGCCAGTAATGCGTTAAGGCAGTGATGGAGACCACAGACCAAGCCACTGAGGGCGACCCTCTGAAGACAGGAGAAGATGGTGCAGAGGCAGGAACAGTACCATCAGCAACAGAGCTGAAGAGAAAGAGCTGCAAGGAGTTGGGTTTTTCCAAACTGTCTCATTGGCGAACTGCAGTCTTCTTCTTGTCCTTGTTCCTTTGCCTCACCATCGTGTTTGCCTTCTCCTTCATCATCCCCTGTCCCGTGAGGCCACAATATCTCGTTACCTGGAACAGTTCATTCCCTGGAGCAGGTGAGTGCAATTTCACTGCTTGACAGTGTTATAGTTGCGAGATAATTAGGCACTACTTTCTCTTTTCTTCACCACAGCAACCTACAACTTCTTAGCTTTTGAACATGCAAATGAAGACAAGGTGATGGATGTCCTGTTTATTCTCAAAACCACAGAAGTGACACAGAACAGATCATGTGCTGATAAAGGTAGAGACTGATCCTCTGTTTATGAAAATACAATACACCCATTGTGTGTTATGTTTGTTTAGAAAAACTGTGGGTTTTCCAGGTCTATCCTCACCATGCGTGTTTCTGTTGGCACTGGATGGCACACATGGAGAGAACCTGTGGGACTGTCCGCTGGAACCCGACTTCCACTGGGCCCAGTGTGGCCTCGAAAGAGAAACGGGCAGAACCTGGGACTGTCTGCTGTCCCATTCTGACAAACTCACAGCCATCGACAAACGTACAGGTTAGTGAAAAAACAAACTCAATGCAAGTAGTGGCAAATCAAATCCTTTATTTAATTAAGAGGAAGAGAAATGGGGATTTTACTGGCTAAGAAAAAAATTGTACCCATTTCCAATTTGTTAGCGGCAACAAATTACTGACATACCATTTAATGTAGTGTTCCTGAAGTCTAGTTAAAGAAAGGAAGTAAAGCAATTTTAACTTCTAAAGATCCGTTTTAGGTCAAGAAAGATGTCTTTTGTAACCTATGTTGTTACTGTGTGGTGTGGTTGTCTCAGGTACGAAAATCTGGCAACAGTCTCAGCCTACTGGGCTGCGCAGCTCTGCGCCCGTTCTCAGTGTCCCAGATCTGGATGGGGACAAAGTTGGTGATGTGGCTCTGGTGGCATCTGATAACACACAGGTAAAGGTGAAGTTAAGAGTTATATTATTCTGTTTCTTGGTTTTTGGTATATTTTATTATGTTTTTCTCTTGCTGTAACAAGACTCAAATATGGAAATGTTCCCCATTGAAAGTGTTGATATTAATGATAATATTAAAGCAAAAATGGAATCGTCCCAGTCTCAGTGTCTCCTGTCATATCTGCAGACTCAGCTGGTATTGCTCTCAGGGAAGACGGGTGACCAAATCGGCACTACGGTGGTTCTCGATTCCACAGAGACAGCCAGTCATCTTCTGCACCGCACTGAGAAAGGTTCTTACTACGTACTACTGCAAAAAGGTTTGTGTATGAAATCATCCGTGACAGTTACTCTGCAGGCAAACTGGTTGAGCAGGTTCTCAATGATAAGTGTTGCATTTTATCCAAGTACAGTTGCAAAACTCAAACTGTTACAGATTTTTTTTTTAATGCTTAGTCATAACAAAAGCTGAATAATAACAGCTGCACTGTTATACCTTTTATAGGATCACCTTTAGTCTAGGCTTAAAAGATTATGTGAATCTTTGTCCTGTAACAACTTATTTAAAAGTTGAATAAAGTCATATGTTCTGATTAATAATAACTTATGGACCCAAAGAAAATTACCCGCAGGTATTAGATGTCTACAAAGGAGGTGGGTCAAAGAGATTTGGTTAGGGTTCAGGTGTGCATCAAACGCTTCAGTAAAAGAAACGTTATCATAGAGATGTTTGTTAAATATTGATATTACCTGATATTAACCTTGCTGCATTTTTTAACAACAGTTCTTACAGTTAGGCTCATTTACTGTAACATTTCATCTTTACTCACTTTTCAAAAGATTCGTCAGCTTTTAGTTTTCTTCCTGTTGTTGATTCTAGGACAGGAAAGGGAATTATTGAGTGAGTGAGTGTATTTACTCGTAGACACTGGGCTGTATGGCTGGGCACTGTGGAAGATCGCTGCCAAGGCTAAAGCAGGGATGGATATGGGTCTGAAGAAGGACCAACACCTGGAGAGAAATGCCAGTGGCACAGACGGCCTTGTACCCATCTACGAGTAAGAAGGAACTTTGATTATCACTTCTACAAAACCGCCTGTTGTCATGGGGATTTTTACCCTGAGACTTGCTATTTGTTTCTGCTTTATAGGTCTGAAGTGAGTCGAATGCTGAAAACCGATGAAACGGATGATTCATCCAACCTGCTGGTTGTGGCTGGGAAGGAGGTGGCATTGCTTGATGGCAAACATTTGGAGCTACTGTGGAGATTCAACACCAGCTCAGTCCTCAGGTAAACCCACTGTGTATGCTTTAGATTTCATGTGCATAGAATAAGAGGAAAGTGCTTAGTTACACAGCACAGCAGCTTAATTAATACCTCAGTACAGAGTGCTTACAAGGTCGATACCGTTGAGATTGCTGGACAAATTCCATAATGCCATGGATACAGAAAGGGAAGAAAAACAACAAGAGCACTTACCTACATCTTTCCTACCATAATGAATACATGGCATGCATTAGTGCAATAACATAATCAGTGTTTACAGATACACTAACATTTGTGATTCTAAATTTAATACTTCACCTAAAAAAAGTTAGGCTATTAAGTAATTACAGAAACAAAAAACATCTTTATTTTATTTATTTATTTTTCCCCTGGTGAGCTGCAGTCATAGCTGTGCAGCACTTGCCTCACAGCAAGAAGGTCCTGGGTTCAAATCCAACATCTGGCCGAGGCCTATCTGTGTGAAGTTTGCAATGTTCTCCCCATGTTTGTGTGGGTACTCTGCCTTCCTCCTACAGTACAAAGACATGCAGTTTGTGGACTTAGGCTCATTGGTGATTATAAATGTGTGAGTGTGGATGCATGGATGGTAAAGCTATATCATTTATAGACCTGGAAAAATAGTCCCTAAATGTACTGTAGACATGTCCATATCCACTAAATAATTTATACATCTCATTAAAATAATATATTTGCTCAGAAGTCAGATTGTGTTAAAACACAACAAAAACCAACAATCTCAAACATTCAGTTAGGGCTGCTCGATTATGGCAAAAATGATAATCACGATTATTTTCACTGAAATTGAGATCACGATTATTTGACAATATTTATTTAACCCTTTAAGACCTACCATAGAACCAAGTCCACCAGAGCTTATATTATTTATTTATTTTTACATGCTGTAGTGCCATTTGTGGGAGCATTTCAAGTTGCTATACATCAATACAACTGTTATAGCCCATATTTTAATAATATGTATGCATTAAGTGCATAGTAATTACATAAATTGCAAAAAAGTGCAATAAACTACAAAAAAAAATTGAAAATCGCTTTTGTTTTGTTTACATATATTTCTACTTGGAGAAATTTAAGAGGTTTATCCCTCAAAACTTTAAATACAATAATGTTGCAAAAAATAGTTTCCCACCACAGGAAATTTATTTTGAGTGTCTTCATAGTTTTATTTTGGAGATACAGCAATTTTTATATACTGCAGGAAAAACAAAAAACAATCCTATGATGCAAATTTGCAAAGAAAACAGCATGTGCATCATTTCACTGTGGGAAGTGTTACGAACAGCTGATGGATCGGCGAAGCGTGTTTCTGGAATATTATGTTTTTGTTCCTGCAAGCGCTTTTTATGCAATTTTTGCAAAGCTATATGTGGAAGGAAACCGTGACCGAGGACAAGCTGATGGCATCAGATGTAAGTACAACTCCTCCGGTTTCATATGCAAAACAAATTATTGCGCTAGCTTACACGGTTCAGATTCTACAGGGATTTAAAAATAGTTACGCAAAACGGAGCGTGCTGCTCTGACCAGCTACAATGACTTTAAAAAAATAATATAAAATAGTGTGCAACACCACTGAAGTTTTTTTTTTTTAAACTCTCTTTTCAACCAACGGCAGTCACTCTCCTCTCCAAATAACTTCTGCTTTGCTTTCCGAGCTTCCCTCGGGTCCTCTTAATCAGCGGTCTCCAACCTTTTTTGCGCCACGGACCGGTTTATGCCCGACAATATTTTCACGGACCGGCCTTTAAGGTGTCGCGGATAAATGAGGGAGGGGCTAATAATCGGCTCAGTCATTTTTAATGATCGTTGAAAGCCCAGATCGTAATTGTGATTAAAATTCGATTAATTGAGCAGCCCTACATTCAGTATTAAATTCTGGTCATTTTTGTGGGAGAGCAAAATAAATATCAAAGTAAACCATTTGTTGTTATTAACTAGGACTCGCTGGGTGGAAAAACAGCCTTTTCTCTTTATTTTTTTTCAGTGAACCCTCTTTTGGTCATTTTAACAAAGATGGTTTAATAGATGTTGTCATTGAGGAGGATATTGGCAACAACACAAAGAGGGTAAGTTAAATTGAAAACGTGACAAACAGCTTTATTTCGATGCCTGACTGCTGGCATGAGGTGATCAGTGTGAATCATAGAAAAACTAGACCACTTTGGTTTTAAATGTAGATAATAATCCTGGATGGGAAGACTGGCGGTGTGCTGTGGGAAGTCCAGCTCTTGGCCAGTCCTAATTCCCCGAGACCCGTTTCCATCGACACCACCAACTACTTCTCAGTCTTCATGTTTTGGGGCTTGATGCCCTCAGAGTCAAACTCATCTGTAAGTACACTACCTTTATGAATATGATCATTTTACACGTTTCTCACAAACAAAACTGCTCCCTGACAGCTGCAATGTTTTCCTTTCAGGAACCAGTAACAAGTGAACGACGCTCTTACATGCTGCATCCTCTCTATTCGAATGCTGTCCTCGAGTCCACTAATGTCGTAGACCACATTATAGCATTTAAAGGTACCTCTTGTTCTAGCAAAGGTATTACTGGTACGATGTATTTCCAGGGTGTATCTTTATAACAACACCCCGTGTTGGTGTTATACCTGGATTATCTTAATTAATGTTGGTCCAGGTTTAACATTGCAAGTGACCAATCACATGTTGATGACATAGTTTTGCGCCTTGGAATAAAAAATCCAAGCAACGTGATTGGTCACTTGCGATGTTGAACCTGGACCAACAATAATTATTTTTAAGAAACAACACAAGGAAATCAGATTGAGCAGTGTTTTTTTAAATTTATTTTTGGGTAACTTATATATTTTCATTGTAGCCACGCTGATGGAGCGTGGGCGCCATGCTGCCTACATCCTGCTGATAGGTCCTAAGGAGGAGGGAGCCGAAGGCACCGTGGTTCTCAGCAAGCGCAAGCTGAAGCAGGACGTTCCCGACAGCAAAGTACTCCGTTTTGGCGACGGGACTACAAAATCCAACGAGGACATTAAAGAGGCCTTCAACCGACTCCGCTTTAGCGATTGGTGAAAAGGCCAGCTGTAACCTGTGCAGTATATCATCGGTTTTATGCTGACTTAACTTGATTTTCAAAACCAAAGTTGTTGTACACTAATTGTGACTTTCCAACTGCTGACCAGCAAAGAAACTCCTTTATCTTTAGAAGACTTTAGGTTGATTTGCTTTGACAGGGATGTTCTCCGGTGGACAAACTGGACACTGTCTATATTCACTCTTCTTCACTGCATATCCTTCATATTGTCAAAACTCTAAACCTGTATAGAATCAGAAAAAAGCTGCTGTTCACTGACAATCACTCTACTCAGACTGCTGTTCTCCTGCTGATAAACCCATCAGATCTGCCTTTATGTATTGTTTCTAGCAATTTCATGCATTGGTGCAATGATCGTTAAAAACAGTAGAAGCTGGACTGTTCAGATCTATGCAACTGTATGTCACGCTGTGCTTTAAAGGTAGCAGATGCATGCAACTACAGAGGCTTTTCCTTAGTGTGTCAAATTAAAAATAGCCTAAATAAAATAGATACTCAGTTGTAAGGCTGGTTTATGGTATAAACTAAATGTTATGTGTTAAATTTGTAAGGGATCCTGTCTGTGAAAGTATCAATAAGGCACTCTGGCAGTCAACAGTACTGATGTTGACATCGATGACCCTTTACTGTTACTTACTTAATCCAACATGCTGTAAGATGTAATGCTATATAACGCACACTGACAATTTAGTCAATGCTGTATCAAATAAGAGTTATTGCTGTGGTTGAACAGCTCCTTGTGAAGCTGTTTTCCCTTGGTAACTTATATTAAGGTTGAAGACGAGGTTCTTATTTTTGCTGAACATGGACATATTGAACCTGTGAAAGAGGCCTTTATTGGAGATGACTTTACTTTCTGACTTGTAATGAAATGTTTGGATTTGAGCTATATTAAAATATTTTTAAAGAAATTGGTTTTGTTTAATCTAAATGAATAAAAACAGGCCGTTTGTCGCCATCTTGTGCACGCACACACAGAGTGCAGTAAAGCGCGGACAGACTGTCGGCATGGATGTATGCAAGGCAGTCACGTATCTCCGGGGCAGTACCGTGCAGTTTACTCCCTAAATACGTACACCGCGTCATTTATTTACCGTGACGCAAGACTGCCGTGGGGCTCCTCCTGAATACATGTGAGGGGATTGAGAGCCTCTCCTTGTAGGGAAATGCTTGGAATTTTTATGGAAAGCCGCACTTGAGGCAAAATAGGAGAAGGCGCCGAGACTTGGCTGGAAGGGAGTGGACCCGCGTGGACAGCGACCGGAGACGGATAGGCGCGCGGATAGTGCAAGTGCACTACCTGTAAAGGAGTTACGCGCGGAAATGCAGCTCATGCACTGAAAGTGTAGTTAGTGCTCCTGAGGCACTACACGGTTAACATGTCTCCGTCACTCTGCTTATTATTATCAGGCTAATAGACCTGCCACATAAAAAACGGACTGCTCATCTGTTCCGTGTCTTAGCTCACAGCTGGTAGGTCCTATAAAGTGCGCCTGCAGCACCTCCATACGATTGCAGGCATTTCTTGACAGAGTTCCTGGTTTGGCCAGCTTTACTTCACTTGAAATCCGAAATATAGGAAGCCCACATGAAGGGAAAATTACTTTTTATGGCCATCCAACTCAAACCCATCCAGCTCATATGCTTAAAAACATCATATTAATGATTAACAGAAACACAGAGGAGCCGAAAACTTCCGGCTTCATAGGAGTAAAACCTCGAACAACAAATTAAAGCTAAAATAAACACCTCCCGCTGCGCCCCTGGGCTTTCACCCCTCAGGGCTTTTATTCTCCAAAACACGACATAAAGCAAACATTTGCGTGTAGACAAAGTGTGACTGTGAGAGTCTTGTCATTTCAATGTGACCTGTATCCGCCATTCCCTTATGATAAAACTGCACGGCTCCAATATCTTCAGACCGGAGCGCACGCGTGGAGCGCGCACTGTCTCTCAGAGTAACGACACTCACCGTCCGGTGTAAAGTCACTTGAGCCGAGCCAGCATCTGCGACTAAGGTACCGTTTACCTGCATGCTCTAACCCTCTAAAGGGTTGCGCAGTCTTGCGCAGACCGTCCGCTAGGTATTATTTCTATTTATTCTATTCATTTCTGTGTGTAGTCATCAAAATAACCGCTCGGGAAGTGGCGTGTCAAAAATGGCACCACTAATTCTGGGTATCGATAGGAAGTGTTTTAATCGGTTTTCAGTAGCATTCTTAAAGAAACTAATTACACTGCAGAGAGAAATAGCGAATGTGTTACCAGGTTGTGCGAAAAAGAAAGAGAAACTGGGCTACGTGCGAAGGAAACGCTTTTTGGCCTGGTAACTAAGGCTATTGATTACTGCCAATACCGGCTAATAAGGCGCATTTTACCATTTAGGGCCTTCCCACTTTGTCCTACATATTTAATCACTGCTTATGTTTGACTGTAGTTTGATATTATAGATTGGACGGTGAGAAGAATAGCTGATGAAAGTCCCGCATTTCTAGTAGCAGCCTTCAGGTGCCGCAGACAGCAATCCGCTGCACTTGCCCAAATATGAAATCTTAAGGCGTCACAGATCGTCACCGCCGGCCACTGTTCAATCTCCGCACATAGAAGGCAACCTGCAGATGTTATCCTCACAAGAGGCTACCACACACAGGCTAATGAGTGGCTGTTTCTTTCCCCTTTTGCACCCATTCATTAGATTCTCCTTCCAGAGGTGAAAATGGCCGAAGACATTAAAGCCAAACTTGAGAAATACCGCACGGCTCCCTTTGACTCCAGATTCCCCAACCAGAACCAGACCAGGAACTGCTGGTCCAACTACGTGGGTAAGACTACACCTCAAGGTTGTTTTCTCCAAATGTGTGAAAGCGACTAGAGGAACTGCCGATTAAAGCAAGACTATGCTGTGCTTTAAAAAGGCAATAACAACCTAGTACAATTTTGGATTATTACAACATTATTCAGTCACAGTAATCATGATAAAGGCTATCATAGTTCACCTACTGACCCTGACCTCTGGCCTGAAGATAGCCCAGTCAGATTTCTTCACAGGGTCTACTGGAAGGTTATTTTTGATATTCACCATTGTTGTTTCTCTATTTATAGACTACTATCGCTGCCAGAAAGCTTTGGATGCCAAGGGATTAGACACCCAGCCCTGCGAGTGGTACAAAAGGGTCTACAAATCGCTGTGCCCCATCTCCTGGGTAAATATAAGAAATGTTACCATCTCATTTCTAACAGAAAAGCCACTTTGCTGAAAGCGTATTGGCAGCATGTACATGGTAATTTAATTGGTGGGAAGAGTTTATTTAGCAGGGGTCAAACAACTTTATGATTCCTCACATTCCTGCTCAGCCCAAACAGTCAAAAATAAGGAAAACATGGAAAACACAGTTTGGAGATTTGCCCCTAATCACACAGCTGACTAAAAATACATCAACATGTTGAGTTACTTTATCAGCCAAAGCGATTCCACTCTCTAAGCTTTGCTTAACATCACAAGTTGTACAAAAATGTAGTTTGAGGATTAACACTCTTACATAGTTATTAAATCAACTAAAAATAAATATTTTTGTCTCAAAAGTTTTCTTTTTTTCCTCTAAAATTTTTGTCCCTTTAGATCCAGAAATGGGACGAGCAGAGAGAAGATGGGACCTTTGCTGGAAAAATCTGAGGCTTAAGCATTTCGAATGCCGATAGTCTGCAGAGATGTAATCTTTTCAGTAGAATGTTTGTACGAGTGGTATAAAACCTGCGGTGTGCCTTTCCACTAATGCTCTGTCCTGAGATCACACCGAAACTGAATGGTCATTCCTTAAAGATATCATGAAATGTACAGCAGATTCTGCATTAATAAAAAATATCTCAGGATATATTTATGGAACTGGCTTGTCCTGTCTTATTTTGTCTCTTTACAGCATGCTGCTGATCCCCTGTGAGGTTATTCATAGACTCTTTTTTTGGGGTTTAGTTCAGATGTGTGTGAGAAAGAGTCAGGGCAAGGAAGTCTGAACATAAGAGATCAACAGCAAAACCCAAGTGGCCCGCTTATAGAGTTTGATGCAGATCACTCCAGACATCCCCCCCCCAAAAAAAGCACAACAAGAGGATGAATTTCCAGAAAACTGAAGGTAAACTATTACTTTTTTCACATTTTATTCATTCCAATAAACCTACTTCAAATATACATATTTAATCAAGATTAGAAAAATAAATATTTCAAAACACTAAATGTCACGGCTACAATAATGGCCACCACTCCACAGAGCAGAATGGAGATTTGGAGTAATGAGTATCACTGCTGCGGGACATAATGAAATTAAATACATAAAACTGCATTTCATATACAATGACTCCCAGCTATAAGGAGTGTAGAATAGTTTATACTGGGGCTCAATGACGCAGTAAAAACACCTAAAAAAAAATTAATGCTGAGGAGTTTTTCCCATGCAACAAGTTAGTACAGTGAACACTGAGCGGAAAAAAAAGTACAGCACAGACTACCAAGTATTTTAGTGAACACAGATTCCTATTTATCCCCTTTTAAACAACTGCTCTTCTTAATTTGAGGTAAGTTTATAATATTTGCATATTAGAAGTTGTCTGTTATCTACTCAAACGCTAAAAGTGGAAAATTGCTTCTATTTTTTAACCGAATTAAAAAGACTGCTGTGGAAATGTTTGCTGGAAAAAAAAAGTCAAACAATCTAGTGCATGTGCATAGCAACTTCAATAAAGGTCACTTGGATTGCAAACGAGCTTTTTCTACTTGATGCGAAGCAGAAAAAACAAACTGACCTAATTGTGTGAAGCCAAATAGATATTTGTTAGTATTAATGTGAAGCTTTGAGCGGCTTCAATTCTCAATGTTCCTCAACTTCGTCTATCGCATTAGTCGTTAATGTGAATCTTGCAAATGTAAAAACCTCTCTGAAAGTACTTCCACAAGTAAAACCACTCACTTTTGAAATATATTATCCAAGAGATATAAATATTAATAGATATAAATTAGTGGCTGCATAGCATTAGGCTTGGTTTGTGCACTGGTGGGAGTGTTTTCATACCCATTAGGCCGAGAGCTAAATGACTAGGCTCGTTGGTGAATCATGTTAATTAATTAACGTAGCGTCCTGATGTGACAGTGTACTCATGTGGCCTTTGAGCTTTTTTTTTTCTTTTCCTGGATTATGTATACGCCAGAAGCAGCATTGGGATATGCAGCACAAGTCACAAGTCACAAGTAGCAGCCACAGATTATAGTGTTGGTACTAGGCACAATAATATGGCTGATAAAATGCAGCCTTGACAGTTTTTTCCTGGCACTGAGGGAGGGACGACTATACAGTACATGTTCAGGATATCTGTGGACTCGTTTTCACAGCAAAGAAAAGGAGAGAAATCCAACCATAAAGTGGAATCTTGTGTGTGTATAATCTCTGTCCTTTTAATTGTGGACCGTGTGAGATGCTGGGGTGACGCCTTTACAAATGACAGCTGGGTGGCTGCTTTGGGACTTGGTGTAAAGGAGGTTTTCAAAAGTCACCCACCAAAAAAGTGGAATAAAAGAGTCAGCCACAGGTTCTTCCCTTCAGCTCTCCTCAAACTGTAAAAACACTGACTCCATGTCAGTCAGTACCTCCTCCTTCCATGTTTCCCGCCATCAGTCATGCAGGTTTTAGGCCGTAGAGCTGAATTGAGTGAGAACAGAACAGAAGAGTTAACAAAGACATTTTAAAACAGACGAATCCATCCATGTTAAAGTGCTCCAATCGCTTCTCTGATTCACCTGGGTCTGCCGTCTGCTTCTTCTTATTGTGATGAACTATCTGGTTCTCATTGGTCATCTTCACATCCTGATCTTCCACATAATTACTACAAGGCAACACAAGAAAAGGAAGACACAGCGGATGTTTTTCTTTAAAACTGTAGTGCCAGCGAGAAGCGGAAAAGGGCAATAAAACACAAAAGGGAGGGTTGACAAAGCTCGAAGTCAGGGAGAGGAGGGACTCTGGGGATCACAAGTCAAGCAAGTGGTAAGGAGGATGTGGGATGTTTGAGGGCACTGGAGGAATCTTCAGTACAGGGAGTGACCACAAGGAGGCAGCAGCACTGGGTTTTTACTATCCTGTTACTCACTGTTGACGGTGTCTGCTGACACGGGGGCTGAAGTGGAGAAGAGTACAAGTCTTTTCAAAACTACTGAGTTAATCTAACACAATTTGTCTGTAAATCTGTTTGATTGTCAGAAATGCAACAGGCCTGTCAAAAAGCATTTTACATGACAGATCACGGGTGTCATTTCAGTTCATGGGCCACATGCAGCTCAATCTGACTTCTAGAGGGTCGTACACCAAAAGCAAAGCAGCATTCAAAATACATTTAAAAAGTCCTCTCATACATTTTATCCATTTACAAAAAAGATGATGAGCAGTGTAAGATGTCTTTAAGAAGACTGTGGAATTATAAATCTCAGTAGGAGCATGGCTCCTTGGATTAACCGTCACACTTCAGTGTAGTATGGGATGACAAAGATAATTTGTAAGATTCTGGAAAAACACTTTTATGTTACCCATTCTTAACATCCTGCAACACAACCTCCTCTGCAAATTTCAGACTCTGCAAGGCGTCCAGTCGGCTGGCAGCCGAGTGCATGTCTGATACCCCTTTTCTAAATAAGGCAAACCTAAATAACAATCAGCATTTAGCCTGTAAGCAAGCAGCCGTTCATGAATTCATCTTTCCAAAAAAAAAAAAAAGATAAATGAATACAAAAAGCCTGAGTACCTGATGACAGTGTTCCTCTCTCTGTGAGTAATGTAGACGTCATCTGTGAACAGGATGGTGTGGTAGGGCACCACAGGGTCGCAAGTAGGCAGGATGCCTCGTGTCACTTGGCTTACGCAGTCCAAGATGCCATTATATACCAGGAGGTCATCCACCAGCAGCTGGACTCACGGAGAAACATGCACCATTAGTAAACAAACAGAAGCGATTGCTAAACCCGCAGCAGAGAGAGAAGTAGGCTTACCCCAAATTCTTTCACTCCTCTCTGAGGCGTCTTTGAGTAGTTCCACAGCTTGATCATGGACACAGTCACTGGATGATCAAAGATGACATACACACGGTTCACCTGCATGGAAACAGAGCATACACTCGTGTCAGCTGCAAACAGTCTCTCTCTTACACACTCACACACACACTGTCTTTCTCACCAGGCCAGGAAGCACTGGGGCTAACCACATGTGTCTTCCATCGTGGGTGCAGTTGACTCCATCTATTAATTTATCTGGAGTCCTCACATCACCGCTCACATTGTCCAGCACATTCACACTGTCTGGAAAAGCAGCAATGTCTGGTGGACGTAATGTTGAGGTCTGATCATGTTTATTAATATAAACACAGCTGCTAATTACCCACAACTTTACTTAGAGTTTCATGAGAACAGAGTTTTACAGTAGTCACAAACTCATTCAGAGATATATTATGTAAACCCAAATCAAATAAACTAGACTACTTTTTTTATTTGAACCCTTTGAATATACTAATAAAATGCACAAGTATAATTCACACTAAATATTATTTCAATTTGATTGTCACAGTTACCTATAAGAGTAAACAACCATGCACTACTGCTCGAAATCCTTATGTTCTTAGAGTAGGATGTAATGCTTGATCTTTTAAGAGGAAAACATTAACAGCTAGTGACTTAATATCTATCAACCTAAAGTGACCGATTTACAGTTGTTGTCAGAAGTTTCATCCAATCAACATAGGCATGAATGTCATGCTGCTTTTCCGGGGTGGAATGATCATACAGCATTTAATAAATCTTTTAAAAAGAACTGGGTGAACAAATTTGATTTTGTTTTGGATTTTCTTCAATTCACACAGCGTCTTTTGGTAGCCATAAACAAGCAGGTATAATTCTACCTCGATATTTGATCACCCTTCTTTGTTAGAGTTCATTAGCGTGACTTGTAAGAATTTTAAGTGAAGTCCACAGATTTTCAATAGCACTAAGGTTGGGGCTAGAAAAGGTCTTTGGATCTTTTGGGATCATTGCCCTGTTGGAACACCCACCGATGTCTCAGTTTCAACTATTTAGTGATTGATACTCCTTCATTATTCCATCCACTTTGTGCAGTGTATCAGTACCACCAGCAGCAAAACAGCCGCAAGGTATGATGCTACCACCACCATGCTTGACAGCTGGTACAGTGTTCTTAGGTTAGATAATCTCACTTTTACCTCTCCATACATACCTGCACTCTTGTCATTGTTACCTAATAGCTCAATCTTTGCCTTGCCTGGCCATAAAACTTTTCTCTAGAATGCATTTGGGTAGTCCATGTGGGAAAATGCTAATTTCACTCAAGCTTGAAGGTGTCAATTTTCGAGTAGGGCCTTCTTTCTTGGTTGGCACCCTCTCAGTAAGGCTCACTTCACTTGACAGTGACACTGGTGTGTCAGCAGGTTCCAGCTCATGGCAGGCTTGGCCCTTCATGGTTCCTGAACATCCTAACCAATTTACTCCCATATGAGGGTGAAAGTTTGGGTCTTCTTCCAAAACTTGTCAAAGTGGTGAGACATCTGAATAATTTGTACATATGTACAATTGTTTGAATCAACGGTCCTGGAATCTAAAGTTGTTTAGAAATGGCTCCAAGAGACCTTCCCAGCTTTTGTAAATCTACAGTTCTCCTTGTTGGATCTTCACTGAGTTCCTTGGATTTTCTCATTATTCTGAGTATTGGTCAGTCCACTGAGAGTTGGCAAACATATCGTTTTTTTGTTAGCAAAGAGAAACTACCAGTTGTAGTTAATCATGATCACTAATGAGAAGTTAACAGTTCTTGGCCTTGTCAAGTTAAAAGACATTGAAGA